GAGAGAGAGAGAGAGAGAGAGAGAGAGAGAGAGAGAGAGAGAGAGAGAGAGTGCCAAGACTCCTAAACTTGACGGCACAGGACCTGAGCTCAGATCCTGACTTCTCCCTGTGTGGACTTGAGCAAGTCCCTTAAACTCCCCAGGACCCAGTTTCCTCACATGTACAATCAGGCGATGGTACTCGGTGATTTCTAAGGTCCCTTCCAGCTTTCCATCTATGATCAGAGGAGTTAGTATTCCCTCTCTTTTTTCCCTTATTGAAGAGGGAGCTGGCCTTGAAGCTAGGAAGATGTGGGTTCAAGTCCTGCCCCGAGACATCCTGACTGTGTGACCCTAGGCAAGACCCATAACCTCTCAGTGCTCTAGGCAACTTGCTAAGACTAATCTTCAGGGAAGGTTTGGACTTGCATTGGTACGGGGGTTTCCTCACCTGAAAGTTCCTTACACCAATGGAATCATAAGGACACTTCTTATCCATATTCCTGTAAAGTATGAATCAAATGCCACCTCCTCCAGGAAGCCTTCCCTGAACCATCTCTCCCTACGGCAATGTCCTTCCCCTTGGGGCCTCTTACAACACTTTGTCTTTTCCGCCTCCATCTGCAGTTCACACCTACGATTTCATCAGCGAAGGAAGTTCTTAAGGAAACTCCCTTTTCCAAGTGGGCCATCTCCAGTTGTCTTGATCTGTATCTGGCCACTGGACTGAGATGGCTCCAGCGGAGAAAGTGAGGCTGGTGACCTTGCACAGCCCTGCCTCACTTAAATCCAATTCACTTGCAAGTCGTGGCATCACCTCCCTGATGTCATGGTCCTCTTCGAGAACAAAGGACAAACCACAGCATATCCCTCTTTCGGTACAGGTGGGCACCTAGGCTGCAGCTCAGAGCCTTAGAGAACCGTCTAGGTTAACTGACTTGCCCAGGGTCACAAAGTCAGTCTGTGTCAGAAGCAAGATTTGAACGCAGCTCCTCCTGACTCTGAGGCAAAGATCTCTAGTGGACACACTGGGCTGTGACTCTTGGCCAGTGAGCTAACCGGGGCAGTGGATAAAATATGGGGCTTTGGCATCAGAAAAGTCTGAGTTCAAATCCAGCCTCAGATACTTAGTAGCTGTGTGACCCTGGGCATGTCTTTTAACCTCTGTTTGCCTCAATTTCCTCAATTGTGAAATGAGGATAATAATAGCACCTCCTCCCAGAGTCACTATGAGGATCAAATGAGATAATATTTGCAAATCATTTAGCCCAGGGTTTGGTGCATAGTAGGTGTTACATAAATGATAATAAGCATTTATACCCTTCCTTTCTGCCTCTTGGACTTGTCATGTGACAGTGTATGCTATGGGTATCTGTGCTTCTGCACACTGAGCTCTCCGAGAACAGGTATTGGGTCTTGCCTAAACTCTATAACTCCCTCTAGCAACTCATGGCTCTGCACACAGCAGGTGCTTCATAAATGGATAGCAAATGAATGATTTCCAAGGTCCAGTAACTTCCAAAAGCCCACGATCCCAAGACTCAATAAGCACAGTTCTTTTACTGACTGGCTCAGCTCACAGCACTCACCCCTGCCACAGTTTATGGCTTCAAAAATTCCTCGACCAAAAAACTTCTCCCCAGGAGACTGGTGCTCTGGTGCTGAGCCCTTCTGCCTGTAGCCAGCTTGGTCCACAGACGCCAGACGCACCATCTGTCTCTAGGCCAGGCCTTGAAGCGTATCTAGCTTGGCAGGACCTGCTAGAGTTTCTGCTCCATGAACGTAGCCCTCAAAAACTCAAGGTCACTTCCACATCCCGAGGATCCTCTGGCCGCCTCATTCTGATGAATTATTTCTGACTTTGGCTCAGCAATAGAGTGGGAAGAATCACTGCATTTGAGTAATTGCTCACCGCCTTTCTCTACGACCTTGGGAAAACCCCATCCCCTTCTCTGAGCCTCACTTTCTCACCTGCAAAATGAAGATGAGTAAGGCACAACTTACCTCCCAAGGGGGATAAGAGCTGTGCCGAGGGCAACATTAATGCAAAATTAATTTATAATTAATGTAATTGATTTGTGATTAGTGTAGTGCCCCACTTAAAAGTCAGCTATGATTGTCACTCTCTCTTTTCCCTGGTAAATATTTCAACCTCTTTAGGGATCTGGGATTTTATTAGTGTGAGTATTCCTCCCCTGATTCAGGTGTGAGCCCCTCCAAGCTTTACTAAATCCCTCTTTATACTTTAGTAAATCCCTTTCAACTGTAAAATGGGGATAATAATAGTACCTACCTCTCAGGGCCTGGGTTGTTGTGAGGATCAAGTAAGATAATATTTGTAAAGCGCTTAGCACAGTGCCTTCTTAGTAGGTGTTTAATAAATGCTTCCTTTCTTCCTTCTTCCTTCCTTCCTTCTTCCCTTCTTCCCTTTCTCCCTTCCTTCTTTCCTTCTTCCCTACCTCCCTTCTTTCTTTCCTTCCTTACCAAGTCAGGGGGTCAGTTACAGTAGCATGAGTAGAAGTGGAGAGGTAATCAGAGGTGGAAGAAGCTGATTTCTGAATCTTGAGATCCAAGCTGACTCAAGAAACAGACAGACCAGGGGATTTGACCTTGAGATTATGAGGGCATGACAAAGGTGTCATGGCTCAAAGAAATATAAAGAAATTTGTGAAAGGGGGCCTCAAGGCTAAGGTTCCCTAACAGGAGGATCAGGATAGCTGATGAGATTCAGGGGAGCCTAAGGAGAGACAGATTGCATCCTTGATGGAATATGAGCCAGGACTCATCAAAATGAATGGGACTTTGGGTATAGGGGCCTGAGAGCCTGGAGCCTGATGGAAGGAGCTGACTCCCAAGGGGAGCAGAAACCAAGAGACAGATTTAGGAGGAACCTCAAAGATGAGAAGAGAAAGTCGGGTAAGAAGCAGAGAATTTAGAGACGGTCGGCACCTTAGATCTTTTTCCAGGTGAGACGCCGAAGCCCCAAGGTCAAGTGACACGTCTGAGATCACACAGAGACTAGACGTGAGCCCAGGCCCCCTGCCTCCAGAGGCAGCGCTCCTTCCACCAGCCCATTCTGCCTTCCAGATCACTTGATGCCATCCCCTCACATTAAGGGTGTGGAAACTCAGGCCTAGGAGAGTAAGAGGTTTCCACAGCACATCGTAGAAGCAGAAGTCAGATCCACGGGAGAGCCGAGAGACCACTTAGCCCAGACCCCTCACTTTACAGAAGGTTCAGAGAAGCGAGAACAGAAGGTAAGCACTCGGAGAGCATGGACTATTTCATTTTCTCCTTGTATCTCCGTTGCCTAGCACCGTGCCTGGTCCAGAGTAAATGCTTCTTGAATGGTTACTATTCTTACAAAGAAAATAGAAAGATGAGGATTTTACATTGGATGGCAGGACTCCAAGGACTCCTTCATAGGTCAATGGAAATGTCATGGGGGGGGGTCCTCTAGGAGAGGATCCCAGGGATCTGTGTTTCAACCTGCTCCACATTCTTTTTAATCAATGACTTGGATCATGGCGCTGATGACATGTTAATCAAATCTGTAGATGACACCAAGTTGGGAAGGAGAACTGACCCCTAGAAGACACCACTGGATTCCAAAAAGGTCTCGACAAGCTAGTGCAGAGGGCTGAAGCTAAGAAGAAAAATTTCAATAAACTACAGTCTTCAATTTGTGCACAAAATAATCAAATCCACAAGCACAAAGCAAGAGAGGCTTACGCAACAATTCATCTGAAAAAGATCTGGGGAAGTTAGTGGACCGGAAGCTCAATGTGAGTCAGCAATGGGATGAGGTCCTCCAAAATTCCCAATGTGACTTTGGGCTGAATTAAAAGCATAGCTTCCAGGAATAAAGAAGTGACCTCTCTGTGTACTCTACTCGAGTCAGACCACACCTGCAGTATTGGGTTCAGTTTTGGGCACCTGAATTCAAAAAAAGGACATTGACAACCAGGGTGATGAAAGCCCTTGAGATCTTGTCATATGAAGATCGGTTTAAGAAATTGGAAATGCTTATCCTGGAGAAAAGGGTCAGGGCATGAGAACTATATTCAAGCGTATGAAGGACTGTCATGTGGTGGATTTGTTCTATCTGACCTCAAAGGGCAGAACTAGGAAGTGGAATAAGAATAGAAATTGCCTCTCTCTCTCTCTCTCTCTCTCTCTCTCTCTCTCTCTCTCTCTCTCTCTCTCT